TTACAACTTCTCAAGATTTTTTCATGTCAGGAGTGACTTGAGAAACTGCAAGTTGCTTCTGGTGTGAGAGAATTGGCCGTCTGCAAGGAGGTTGCCCAGGGACACCCAGATAACTGATGTTTTACTATCCTTGTGGGAGGCTTCTCTCATGTCCCCACATGGGGAGATGGGGCTGACAGAGGGAGCTCAACTTGCTGTCCCCGGATTCAAACCACTGACCTGTCAATCACAAGTCCTGGTGGCACAAGGGTTTAACCCATTATGTCACCAGGGGCTCCTAACTTCTCAATCAACTCTACCTTAACTATCATCTCTACCTTAACTCTGAATCTCATAAGTTCTAAAAAGTTCAAGTTGCAGTGGGAAGATAATCATTATAAGAAGATATACATGAATATACCTGAATATGCCTGAAGGCAGAAAATGTCAAATGTCTTGTAGCTTTGGAATTCGGTGCATAGAATTGCTCTTTCTGGAATGGTTAAATGTAAGCACTTTCTTTCTTTAAACCACACTCAGTATTAAAGTACACATATTGTACTACTCTAAGAGCCACCGCAAACTAGGCTCCTGCAGGAGCAAACCTTGCGAGCACGTCCTTGACGTCATGAGACTGCGCCTCTCTCTCTTCCCCTTTCTCCGTGCTAGAGAAGAAAACCACTGGTTTTTCCTTTGCTAGGGCAGCATTGCCAGCGTTCTCTCTCAGTTGAATTCTGCCAACTGAGAGAGTACGCTGGCAATGCTGCCCTAGCAAAGGAAAAACCACGCTGGCACGGAGAAAGGGGCGGAGAAAGGGGTGGGGTGAGAGGCAGAGTCTCATGACGTCAGGGACGTGCTGGCAAGGTTTGCTCCCGCAGGAGCCTAGTTTGCGACGGGTCTAAGGCTCCTTCTGCACAGCTAAGTAAAATCCCACATTTTCTGCTTTGAATTGAAATATATGGCAGTTAACCCAGTTCAGACCAGAAATTGTGGGATTTTCTGACTTGATGTTCTGGCTTATATGGCTGTTTGGAAGGGCCCTCAGTGTCTTTTTGAATTTGTTTCTGCATGTCAGAAAGTAGGACTGGATGACCTTTGGGGTCTCTTCTAACTCTAGGATTCTAGCATTCTATATCAGGAGTAGGCAATACGGGGTCTAATGGATACACTTTTCCTCTTCTGTCCACCATCTCATCCTGACCAAGACCAACCTCTTTGGGGTCCAAATGTTTCTTGTCTTTTCTTCACTTTCTGCCTCCAAAAGAGAAGAGGAAGGGGAGAAAAGGGCAGGGAGGGGACATGGGGAGAACCAGCCCACCCACCTCACTTCAGTTCACCATGCAGCCCCCAAGTTAGGAAGTTTGCCCATGCCTGCACTATAGCCTATTGCGAAGTATTATTAGAATTGCGTCCAGTGATGTAGGAAGACCAAAAATTCTCCATCCTGGAAATTAAACAAGACATTTTTCTTGTGCGTTGAAATGAGGACATTTCTTTATGGAAAAGGACATCTTTTTTTGTCACTCATTTTCAGTTCCTCGAGGTATCACTGGGAAATAAGAAATAATGAGTATGGTGTTGAGCTAATGAAACATGTCATTGCATTAGCATTAAGGAGTTACAGCTATCTCATTCAGCTTGGAGGTATGTAGTTAAGGGTTCTGAAGATCAACTTAGACAATAAAGATTGTAGATGTAAGGGCTCTGGTCCAGTTCAAGACCACATGCTTTGAAAAGAAGTAATCATGTTCAGTCTATTTCAATATGTATGCGAGGGAGGAAGAAGCTCCTGACCATTAATAGTCTAGTGTGCTGTTGACCTATGCAGCCCGAAAGACAGTTGCATCTGTCAGGTAGGAAATTTAGGTACCACTTTGCGGGGAGGCTAATTTAACTAATTTATGATACCATAAAACCTTCCAGCAGTGTGCATAAGAATGAAGAAGTTCTCCATCAAGGACTCTGTATCACAAGTGGATGGTGAAGTGACAGCTCCCCCTGTGGCCGGAATCGAGCATAGCCTCATGAAGCTGGAAAGCTGAAATGTTAAATTGCCTCTGTCTCTGTCTATATATGTTGTATGTCTATGGCACTGAATGTTTGCCAGATATGAATGTGATGGTGAAACATCTCTGTTTTAAGGGAGCTTTGTGAATTGTTGTAGGTTTTTTGGGCTGTATGGCCATGTTCTAGAAGTATTCTCCCCTGACATTTCGTCTGCATATATGGCAGGCATCCTCAGAGGTTATGAGGTCTGTTATAAACTAGGAAAATTGGGTTTATATATTTGTGGAGCGTCCAGGGTGGGAGAATGAACTCTTGTCTGTTGGAGCTAGGTGTGAATGTTTCAGTTGGCCACCTTGATTAACATTTGATGGCCTGACAGTTTTTAGGTGTGCCCTGTTACTACCTGGGGGAATTCTTTGTTGAGAGGTGATTAGCTGTTCCTCATTGTTTCTTCTCTGGAGCTTTGTGACTTTTGGCTTAGAGCTTGGAAAAATTACATTTTTGATGTACCAGTTCCAGAATCTCCCAGGTTGGGATATTTGAATTGCTTAAAAAAGGAGAATGCTTCCAAGCTTCATCTATATTCCCTCTCATCTTTCTAGTTGTGAAGATACGCTTGCCTTTAACTCTGGGAGCAGCTCCGCAGTCCTCTCGTATGTGCTCAGCTCTGCAGAGTGTATCAGAGCGGCTTCCTAATTGCTTGTGACATAGCCATTGCCAGAGCTGGGGCCAGGCCTGGCCCTGGGGGAGAGACTCAATTAATTCCGGGATCAGTCCCAGGGCAGAGGAAATGGTGCATGCGAGAGAACAGCTAAATGGCCAGTGCATTCTGTTAACCCTGGAGCCAGGGAGGAGGCAGATGGGACAGACTTCAAGAGTCTCTAGAAAGCTGTAAATTGCTTTTAATTTCAAACTTGAATTCCCTGCTCAGTAAGGGAGTTTCAAGCAAGAAGAGATATCTTTCAGTCCTTATTTAAGTTTATGATTATTTCATAGATTTTAAAAACCCTGACTTTCAGAATGCAGCAATGGATGCCTATATAACCTGAAGGCACCAGCTCTTGTTTGATTGTGGAAGCTAAGCAAGATCTGGGCTGGATGGCACTTGGCAGAGACATTGCAAGGAAAAAGAAAGTGCACAAGTTTTGATTGATAGGAAAGCAATATCACCAAGCAGTAGACCCTATAACTGGGTCAGTCAGTCTCAAGCCACACAACCACTACCACCTTCATTTCCATTCCATGGGTTTTCATTGTATAGAGGGGAGAACTGAGAGGAAATTAGACCAATTTGCCTAATATGGATTCAGAAGAATGGGTAGTAGACTTTCAGGTTAGTGTAGTGTAAAGACCATAGACAGAGACACACAAAACTGCCTTTCCAAAAGGTCTGCTGAGCCCAGAATTTAACACATGTCAAGGACTTGGGGACTGATGAATACCTCCATTTTCAGCTTCCTCACCCCTCTGTAGACTTCACCAAAACATGTCCCCAAACCTGGAAGGGACCATATGTTTTCTTAGCTATTTGGGGCCATTTGAGAGTATGGCTACCTTCAATCAACAAATGGTGAATTGTGTTTCCAGATTTTCCAGGCTTTTGCTCCTTTTGATGGAGCAGAGGAACTGAGGGAGTTTGTACAAAATTCCCGCAGGTTACATGTGCCCAATTCACACCACTGATTTAATCTTGATGATAGGCAAGTATTCTCCAAGGCTTTTCTTCTTATTTGCTATTTGACCCTGCTTATTGGATATAGCTCCTTGTCACTGATATTGTTACCTGCTCAGAACATAAGAACCCTGCTGCTGGATTGGAGCTATGTTCCCAAAATGGCCAAACAGAAGCTTTTGGGAAACATGCCAGAAGGACATGAATGCAGTTACACACCCCTACTTCAGATATATGAGAAGTGACGAGAACAGGGGAAGGAACAACAGTCTCTAACTTGCCCTCTTTTAGGTCGTATTGAGCAAATGGAAGGCGAGTTAAGGAGGCTGCCCCATTCAGATCCGTTTGTTTATTAACTGCTGTTAAAGTGGACTTCTATTCATGGCAACCCAATGAACGCAGTTACTCTATCACCAACAATCCCATTATCTCCAGTCACCCTGTCACCAAAAGCCCTGCTTTGTAGATTGAAGATCATGACTTCCTCTATTGAGTCAATCCATGTCCTCTATTGAGTCAATCCATGTCCTGTTTTGGGCCAGAATAGCCTTAAAACCAAATTTAAAGGCACTAAAAAAAGCTTCACTTCAGCAAAGTTAAAGTAGCAAAAGCAAGTTCACAAAAGCAAGGCAAAAGTCTCTTGACTGAGCAAAAATTATGTCTTTGGTGGTTTCTTCATAAGGAAGAAACTTTGTGCTGGAACTATTGCAGCATCAAAGGCTAGGTAATTGGATCGGTTGCTGCCAGCTACAGGCCATTCCCCTGCTTTTGATATATAGCCTCAGCCCACAGCACATGTGTCTCTAAGGAGTGGTCTGATTGCTGCACATCTTTTCGGTAATCCTGGCTGACCTACGCCTTGCTTGTTGCTCCCTTAGGTGTTCTCGAAAGGTAGGAAGGACCAATGTGCCTCTCTCCTCTTCTTCCTTTTGAGCAGGCATGACTATCTGCCCAGAATCCCCAGCCCCTTCCTCTTCATCCTTCTCTTCTTCCAACTCCTCCTCAGAGCAAGAAGAGGAAGACACAACATCCTACACTCCACTAGAGATGATAGTTGTGGAAGAACAGGCCAAGAAGGATATCTTGTTTCCTGGTATACTTGGGTTGTCTTTCTGAAGTTAGGATGAATATTGACATATCCAAGAGAAAGACATCTCTGGTTCTTATTTCCTTTCCAGATTGATTGATTTGATGGATTTCTTGTGTCTAGTAGGTAGACTTGTCCAAGAGAAGCTGGGCTGTTTCGTTGATTCAACGGATTGTTGAGATAAGAGCAATTATTGATGTCTTGTGGAACACTTGCAAACAAAACTAAATGACAAGTTGATGTCTTGTATTTCAGGCTTTTTGATCTGAACCCTGATCTCTTGCCCCTTTTCCAATACAACTGCAAGAAGTTCTCTACTCCTCAGGAGTGCCTCTCATCACCTGAATTTTTGGAGCACATTAGAAAGGTGAGAGGTATAAAGAAACTTGTCTGATAATTGTATGGGATTATGTACACATTGCAACTCAGTTTGTGAAGTCTGCTTTATAAGGTATTGCCTATTTGGGATGTGAACTTGGAGACTAAGTGTGCATCTACATTATAGAATGACAACAGTTTGACTCCACTTTAGCTGTGATGGAATCATGGGATTTATAATTTGGTGAAGCACCAGTGCTGTTTGGCAGAGAAGATGAAAGGTGAATAATCTCCCATGATTCCATAGCATTGTGCCACAGAGGTTAAAGTGGTGCCAAACTGAATTACTTCTATAGGGTGGATGCACCCAAAGATTCAAACAAACTCATAATGCTCAATGAGTGGCTTTAACCCATCAATTCTGTCAAACTGATGTATCTAATAGGGTTGCTGTAAGGATAAAATGATGCACAATGAACGATGCTAGATTAGGAGTGGCTGGCAGTTCTCTGGGTAACTTGTAGTGGGTCTGAAAAGTGTGTACTGACTGGAAGATTTGGTTAGAAGACTGCAAGGAAGAGTGGTGTCTTCTAATAGTCTGGCCTTATTAAAGATTTTAGGGACTATTTTACTTTTAAATCTGCCTAAGCATGGTTTAAATTGTTGTGAATGTTTAAGATGTTGCAATGTATTGTCTTGTTTTTCAGTTATGTAAGATAAGAACATATAATTATTTTAATTTACATATATTGTGTAATCCGTACATTTCCTTGACACCTTCAATGAAAGGCAGACTATAAATATTTCTGTAAATCTATATAAATAAAAATGTAATGTTCATTTGTGGGATTGACATAACTCAAAAACCATGGGGCGAATTGACACCAAATTTGGACACAATACACTTATTAGGCCAACGAGTGACCATCACTCATAAAAACACTCAAAAACACAGTAGAACAGACTTTAAAAGCAAAAGAAAAACAAACAAACCAACCAAACATTACAATGTGTTCACAAAACCACATATTTACACATATACACAAATATACACACACATACACACAAAAAACACATATACACAGACTGGGCCACAGCAACACATGGCAATGGATAGCTAGTAAACAATAAATGACTAAATTTCATTTGGAATCCAACTGCCACCACCCAGATCTGAAGCTGAAATCAAGGTTAAAAAATCTGAGGTTTTGTGTTTCCTATTGATCAAAATGGAGACTGCAATCAAGAAATCAGAAGAACACTAGGACTTGAAAGGGAAGCTATGGAGGGAAATAAACAAGATCCTGAAGTGTAAAGCTACATCACTGAATACTGAAGTTAGGATAGTTCATGGCATTGTAATTCTCCATTTCTATGTATGGCTGTGAAAGGTGGAGAGTGAAAGAAGTTGATAGGAAAAAAACCAACCAACTCACTTGAGATGAGATGATGGAGTAGAGTTCTGCAGATACTGTGGACTGCTAAAAAAATGTCCTGATCTCTTTATAGAAGCCAAGATGATTAAACTGGAGTTGTCATACTTTGGCCATATCAAGGGAAGAAATGAAACTCACTAGAAAATGTATTGTCGAAGGCTTTCATGGCTGGAATCACTAGGTTCTTGTGGGTTTTTTTCGGGCTATAGGGCCATGTTCTAGAGGCATTTCTCCTGACGTTTTGCCTGCATCTATGGCAAGCATCCTCAGAGGTAGTGAGTATTTTCATCAGAAAATACTGTAATGCTTGGTGGATGACAGTAAGAAAGGAAAAAAAATGAGTCTACCCAGATCGATAGACTCAATTAAGGAAGTCACAGACCAGAGTTTACAAGACCTGAGCTAGACTGTTGATAGTAGAGTGACTTATTTATTTTTTCTTTCCATATTTCCATCCCACCTTTCTCACCCAGGAGGGGACTCAAGGAGGCCTTACAATAGGGAGGAATTTGGTACCATACACACATATATCACATTAACAATTATAATTATAACCAAATAATTAAAACATGAATTATTAAAATATCAATTAAAAACACATCATCCAAAACATAATCCAGGGGCATTCCATTTGTCAATCACAGTTGATTCATAGTCACATATTTCACTGCTCCAATTGCTTGTCAAAAGCTTTATCCCAAAGCAACATCTTAAGTTTTTTCCCAAAGGTCAGGAGAAAAGGAGTTGATCTTATCTCACTGGGGAGGGAGTTCCATAGTTGAGGGGCCACCACTGAGAAGGTCCTATCTCTCATCCCCACCAATCACTCCTGTGAAGGAGGTGGAATTGAGAGCAGGGCCTCTCCAGATGATCTTAATCCCTAAGATAGTTTATAGAGGGAGATACATTCAGACAGGTAAGCTGGGCTGGAACTGTTTAGGACTTTATAAGATAAAGCCAGCACTTTGAATTGGAGGTCTCCCATTCATAAGACACATAAGTTAAAAGCAGCTTGAAGGTAGGCTATAACATGTTTTGGAAGTTTGAAGGTAGTTAACAACAACAAGTACAACAAAGAGATATCATTGGAAATACCAAAATAGCTATAACATGTTTTTGATCATTATCAATACCCCATGGGATAGAACTATGCCTGCCAAAATATTTGTTTTTTTGTGCTACTTGCCTCTGGAGTTCCATTTTTTTTAAATGAACTGCCAAGAACCTTTTTCTTGGCAGAATTGGAAGAAATTTGTAGGAATAGTTGCCTCATCATAGGGATGCATGGTTGCCAAGTTTCAAATGAATAGGTGGAGAGACTTTTTTTGTGCAATAACAGCCTTTTTTTTGGGATGGCATCCAAAAAGGGTGTGTTTATCCCTGTGGACTATTGTTCTGAAAATGACAGACAGCCTAGAGGTGCTGTTGAGAAACAAACCTGTAACATTTCAGAAGGATGGGTGCAACAGTTCATTGTACAAAGGAAGTCCACAATTCATTTGATAGGTAGGGGTGAGTCACTTCCCCATTTCCCCTCCTGTGTATCTTGAGAACAATGTGTATGAAAATGATATACACTGTATACATCACCTTAGGCATGAAACTGACCAAATGACAGAAGAATGAGTGTAGTACTCTAGGAGTAACATTACTTAAACAAGTTTCAGATCCTACCCCCTCCCCCAAAATAGTGAAGCATAATGACAGTGGAAGAAAGGCTATCAACCCCTTTTTCGTCCCATCTCATTTTAGGAGTAAGCCACTCAAGGAAGACAGAGACAGCAGAACATCCTAAATCAAAACATCACATATTTTTTCTTCATCATCACGTCCAAATGGAATCTGATGCCTTTAGCGTGTTTAGGCCCTCGTTGTCTTTAAAGTTGAATGCCATAGAAAAGGAGAAACAACTCACTCATGGAAGCCACATCCCTGAGCTTGTAGGATCTGAGCAGGGCTATTAATAACAGAGTGTCTTGAAGACTTCTCATATATTGGATGCCTTACGTTGAAGCCTGATGGTAAACAGTATCAGGAGCTGCAGTAGCAACAAATAACCACTTCAACCTGAATCTCTTATCCTATCCTTTGTTATTTCAGTTCAGCAAAAAAGTCACTTAAATCCAAGATCTGAATTCACAGTAAAATTACTCAATTAAGTGTACTTGGTAGCCAAGTGGTGTTGGCTACTATATATTAAAACTATTTTAATTACTGGTACAAATGCTTTTCTTTAAAGCTTTCTCTAAAATTACTTGTGGGTAATGTAAATATGTGAATATATATGGGACTTTATCTTGATTTTTTAAATGTGCAGATAATGCATTTTACAAAAAAAAAATAATCTAAATCTGTTTTTGACCAGAAACGGTTTTAATTTAATTTAAATAATTAAATCCATGCCACAGCTTGATAGAAGCAAGCCGGAAGAACAAGTAGAGGCTTATTCTGGGAATGGGTTAAAAAAAGTCCAAACTTGGAAGCCTTCAGCATTGTTGGAAGCCTTTCTTTTTTGGCTGAGTTTTAGCTTATCAATTGGCTGGTTTTAATTTGATACCTTCTGTTGCTTATGATTAGCACTGGTGATGTTTATTTTTCTGGTCTGAAATTTTTAAATTATGTTTTAATTTTAATAATTTTTTTTGGAGTAATAGTGCATTGGAAAAAATACTATCTGCATTCAGTTTGGGGTGCTGGTTCAGAAAATTGCATTGGATAGACCACATCAGCTCTAGTTTCTGATACAGAATATATGCCACGATCAATGACAGGGAAGGAGTGGCAAGCGGCATGAAAGGAGCAGAAAGAAAATAAAATAAATAAAGAGGAAGGAGGCTCAAGGACCAAATTTTTGACCTCGTGGCCCACTGGTGGTCCGTGGCCCACAGGTTAAGAACCACCTACGTGTAAGAAGTAATAACTGTGGCCACATATGATGGTTTCCATATCCGGTGTGTGATTAGTCTGCTTTAGATTTTATACCAATTTTAAGGTGCTGTTCAAGGTGTTGGATCATATTCCCCAAATAAGTTTAGAACCTTGGACAGCTCAATTTGAGTATGGCATAAAACTCAGAGGAGATTCACTGGCTCTCCAATTTGACTATCCTTGGTACATGTATTTTTCTTGATAACTTTTGGGACAACCATAATTTTGAAAGGTACTTTGAGTGGATCCCCCAACCTCCCACAATAGAATAAGGGGAGGCAAGAAAACTCATGTCTATTGAGTGAGTCTGTCACTACCGCCTGGCAGCATTTGCTACATCTCTATGTTAAACAGTAGGATCAGCTCTATTATTGATAATCTTGTTCCATTCTCTGAAGGATCATATCTTCCTATGCGAATTTGGCAATGTTTTGAAATTCTTTTGGGAGGTCTCACTCTACCTGCCCGACCATAATAATAGTTATATCTGTGGCTGTTCCCAGGCTCTGGAATTCCCTTTCCAGAGAGGTTAGATTGGCACCTTCCCAGGTATACTTTCCTAGGCAGGCAAAGACTCTTTTGTTACAACAAGGCTTTGAGAAGAGCATGATGTTGTAGTTTGAGCACCTGAGTACAACTCTGGAGTCCAAGATTTGAATCCCTGCTCAGTCATGAAACAGACTTCCTCTCATGTTACACCCTCTCAGCCTCAGAGGAAAGCAGTGGCAAACCTCTGCTGAAAAAGTCTTGCCAAGAACCTCTGTGATACATTTGCCTTGGAAACAACTCGAAGGCACACAGCAACAACAACAACAACAACAACAAGGGTTGGCTGCCCAGGGGAAAGGATTCATCCTGTGCTGCGTTTGTATTTGCTGTTCTCCTTTTTTACAATAGTTTAATTATTTCAGTTCTTGTGGGTTTTTTCGGGCTACATGGCCATGTTCTAGAGGCATTTCTCCTGACGTTTCGCCTGCATCCTCACCTCTGAGGATGCTTGCCATAGATGCAGGTGAAACGTCAGGAGAAATGCCTCTAGAACATGGCCATATAGCCCGAGAAAACCCACAAGAACTGAGTGATTCCAGCCATGAAAGCCTTTGACAATACGTTTAATTATTTGTTTACCTTTTGTACAACTGAATTTTTATTTAACCTTTGTAACATCAGACTGGGATAATTCTGTAATAATTATGAAATATGGAAGCTATATTTCTAGATGCTATGGCTCAGAAAATCGTGATAGGTCTTTTCCTCTAAGTCCTCTAAGGTTTGTTGTAGTATTGACCTACAAGATAAATTGTAACTGTGATATTTCACAGGAGTCATACATTAAGCATTTCTACCTGTATTGGCAAGCAACAATCAACTATAGCTTCCCAACGTGTCTACAGGCTACAAACATAAGCATTTCTGATCAGCTTGCATGATGATCTATACATGGATTTTTTATTTTTTTTCCTGACCCACAGATGCTTTCCTTATTGTGAATGCTTTACAATTGATTGAAGTTTTAGATAGTAGAACTGTGGCAATACACTTTTAAATATAATTTCTTTAAAATTTGCCTTTTTTTGTTATTGAATTTTTGGGCTTAAGGAGGCATATGGCACAAACCTTCCAGGCTCTGCAGTGATTATTTGCAGAAGGCTTTTATATGAAAAGGCCACTGTTCTGTTTCTCAATAGAGAATATTACATTCTTCTGTTTTATTTTTCCCTTTTAGGTAATGTCAGTAATAGATGCAGCTGTAACCCATATGGAAAATTTGCATTGTCTGGCAGAATACCTTGCCAACCTGGGTAAGAAACATCAGACAGTTGGTGTGAAGCTTGAGTCCTTTTCGGTAAGCTGCCTCTGAAGATATATTTGCTGCATTCTTGGTTATCTTTCTCTTCTTTCTTTAAACCTTCAGTTTGCATAACTGCACTTTACTTGTTTTATGTAAATAGAAATAAATGCTTGAATCTGCAAAACGTGCTATATGTAAGCAATAGATTATCCAGGTTTGGGAAAATGCCCACAACTGCATGTTCATTTTGACAACCACTGATGGAATGTGTTAATATACCAAATCACAAGCTTCAAAACATTGGCTTTTGGGACAAAAGCTGCCCAAATATCTGGACAGCAAGGTCACTGGTCATGTTTGCTAAGGAACTCGGGGACTTATTAAAAGCTAACCTTTTCAAGTGCTCAAGGGAGCATTGACAACCATTTACATGTTGATTATTGACATTTACTATTGTATGCTTGATTTTTAAAAAATATATATACACTTTTTATTTTTGGAGATTCCCATAGTTCATTTACCATTTTTGTTTTTTATATGTGACAGTGAAAGTTCATCATCTTTTGGATACATAGATATTTACACTCTATGTCCCTGTTACTTTCCGAGCAAACAAAAATCCACTCAAACTGGGTAAAAATCCCCACTCAGTGTTGTCTAGATTTTTAAACTATGGCTTCCATCATCCCTGGCCTTTGACCATGCTGACTGAAAGTTGATAGAAAACGTAGCCAAAAGCACCTGAAGAACAGTAGGTTGTGAAAGGGATGGTTCTTGGGGGATTTGAGGGAGTCTGTGTAGCTTGTGGTTTCAAGATGTCAGGTGCACAGACAGCCAAACTGCACATTAAATGTCACACCATGGTCTTAATCCAGCATTACTAACCACCAATCCTCTCACGGTAGTTTACTAATTGAAATGCAAAAATAAAATAAAAGATGCAGAATATAAAAACAAGAATGGCAGTTGAATTTTCAATGATGATCCCTTCTTAGTTGATGAAGCAAGCTATTTGGCCTGCACTGACCTCTCTCACTTTCTCTTTTGTTTGTTTAGTTTTGTTTCTTTCATGGAGATGGGAGCCAAGTAGCTGTCTCAGTTGGACTCTTATGGCCAACAGGGATTTTAATCAGAATCAAGCTCATCATTAATCAGAATATTAACCACTAAATAACTTATGATGACCCCATAAATCTCATTGGGTTTTTTAAGACAAAAATACTCTGGTCCCACAATGGGTTCAGCACCTTGGATAGCTCTTTCCTACTGACATTTGAACTGCCAGTAACCTTAGTTTTAGCCTTATCCCAAAGTCTTCAGTCTTCAGATGTAGAAAACTAATCTACCTCCTGGTTTAGATTACTTCAGGGGTATCCAACACATTTTCTTTGAGGCCACATCAGCCTTATGGTTGCCTTCAATGTGCCATTGAATCAGTGGGTGGAGAATTGGGGGATATAGAGGGCCAACTATAGTTGTTTTACATAGTGGTCAGCGCTCTTTAGTTTTTACTCAGTTTGGGTATTATTGAACTATTATTTATTTAAAAGTTTTCTATACCGATCTTCTCACCTACAAGAGGGACTCAGATCCGGTTCACAACATGTGTTCATATACAAAAATACAAACCACACACAATAAGATAAAACTCTTATCTTTTTTGATTATTCACCAAGTGGACCAGGAATAATGGGAATTGCAAGCCAACAGCACTTGTGGCCCCAAGGTTGGGAAAAGATTAAAGTCAGACATCATACCCACAAACTTTGTATCTAAATTCAAACCACACTATCCTGACTAAACCGAACAAACTGCAGCCTTCCACGTGTTACTGTATTCAACTCCCATCAGCTCTAGTCATGCTGTCTAATGATGAGGAATACAGAAGTTGTACTCTAGCATCTGGAGGACCATATAAATGACATGGGGAGCTGGGCTTGGCCCATGGGCCTTGAGTTTGACATATGTGGATTACTTATTAGATGATTTATTTATTTATTGGATTTTTACATTGGGATGAGATCTAAGGCAAGATGAATGAATCAGCCTTGTTTCTGCCTGTTGAATACTGATGCCACTGTCTCCCTTTTGATTTTCAGACGGTGGGGGAGTCTTTGCTATTCATGCTGGAACAATGCCATGGCCCAGCTTTTGACATGAATGTACGTGAGGCCTGGATCAAGCTGTACAGTACTGTGGTGGAAGCCATGGCTTGTGGATGGGACGTTCCTGGAAAGGTGGAATAAAGCAGCGGCTGAGATGCTTGAAGGCTCTGGCTGTTCTGGATCAGGGACAGCTTTGAAGAGAGAGCACACCTGCCTTTCCAGCTCCGTGTTTTTCAGAGTAATGTCTTTCTCTCTCTCAACAGCTTATATCTCTTGTGTTTTCTTTTGCATTCTCCATGTCTTTTGTGAAAAACATGACAGGGCTCCCAAATTCCTCTACTTGTTGGCTTGTAGGGGGCAGGAGAGAGCCAGTCTGGAATTGCATCTAGAAGAGAAGCAGAGAGTGATGCAGCTTCCCTTCCAAAAAGGCTCATTACAGGTTTTTATTCTCTATTTTCAAAGAGTAGTTAGAAGTATCTCCTAGGGCAGAAAGGTTATTGCACCAGCTGTTCCATTAAAGGAAGAAAGCCTGAGGTTGTAACAGTGAAGTGAGCCAATAGAGTGTGCATTCCTTTGGGATTATCCAAGCAGTATAGCTTTTCCTTTCTTTTTTAAAACTCCCAGACATACTAAGCCTTCTCTTAGTTCATCTGAGTTTAGGGTGGTTATGTTTTTAATAAGCTTTCCCACAAATTACAACTTGGAAAGCCAGTAGAGCTGTCAGTTTCCTGTGTGTGAAAACAAAATCTTGTCATGGAATTTGTGACAGATGTAGCATTGGTCTTGGAAAGAGCATCCCGAATTCATTCTGGTTTCAAGCCAAAGAGAGCTGGTAGCATAAAATTCATTTCTGGGCAGTTGCCATTCTTCCTCTTTCTTTTGAAGCATTTTACAACAGCCTGCAGGGTGTTCGACAGAATCCTTTTCACTTTTTTGTTGAATTTTAATTAAAAGCAAACTTCTTCGCTCTTGTTATTGTTGTTGAAGAGCAGGGACAGGAATTGTGAAGCCCTCCACGCATTGAATTGCAACTCCCAGTAGGCCAAGCTAATATTGACAAAGGTGCTGTGTGCTGTACATCACCATCATTTGGAGTGCCCCAAAATTCCCCCAGAAAAATTTGAGTAGTTAAGCCACTTGCTTAACTTTTGATGTTGGTAAGGAAGCTAATTCAATCAGGATTCCACTTTGAGAGGAAGGTGACATATTACCCTGTCAAGTGAATCGGGCTACAATTTCCACTATCCTTAGTCAGTCATACTGGTTGATGGGAGTTGCAGCTGACACATTTACAGGATGCCATGTTGGGTAGGATTGCTTTGAGGGCCCCATCTTTTACTTGTTTTTTACTGCAGGACCAAGTCCACCACAGGGAAATTCTGAGTACGACTGTGTAGGAAGGCAAAGGGTAAGTCTTGCCCTGAGGCCAGGCCTAGATAAGGAAAAAAATGCCCATGATGATGATGAGGTGAGAAGTATTTTGAGGGTCCTTTTATCATTAATGTATGTGGTTGATCTTGGAAAGCTGGTTTGATTTCAGATAGCTCGATGATCAAAAGTGATACAACTGGTAAACCAGCTCTGTCTTGGATCACAGACATACCACACTTTTACATGTGCTTTTATGTATCATTAATAGGCTGATTAATCAATCCTGTAGGATGATATCTTGTCACTATATCTGATATGTGAAACTGTTTAATCTTGTGGACTAAGTAGGGGTTGGAACTTCCAGACCAAGTGGAAGCAGCTGCCGATCCAAAATCATATATTTCCTTTATGTGTAAGGAACAACTGTTTTTATGTGTAAAAAAAAATCACTTGAGCAATCTTTTCATGTTTTGGTTTATGTACTGTTGTATTAAAGTGTCCTTGTGGGAGAGATAATACACATTTTTCCCAAGAAAATTGTTTCGTGCAGAGATTTTTGTCATGCCTATAAACTCCAGATGGCTTAGGGACAGTTACTTTGAAATATATCAGTGAGCCCACAAAAAAATAATAAAAAAAAAAGATAATATGAGGGGGGAAACACATCCTGGCAGAGCAAGGATGTCTACAGTTTAAACATTGGCTTTACGGTGCTAGTTTTATAATAAAGGATTCAAATCATGCTCCAGCCCTCAGTTTTGGGTTGTTTTCTAATATAGCCCTACCACAAAAAAGCCCTATTATTGAAGAAATTGGATGTGAATATAGTTGAGAAGAGTATTCAGAATCTGGAAGAGTTAACTGTCATATTTTTGGCTACTGGTAATGTAGAGACATGGTAATAATGTTTATCAGAATCTGGAAAACTGATTTTTTTTGGACTACCCCACTCCCCGCAATCTTTCTGAGAGATTTCGGGAGATGGGAGTTTTAAGGAAGTAACTTTCTCAAAGTGATGATATTATTATGATGCAATCAGAACTGAATAAATTAACAAAATTAGGGAACCAATAGAACAGAATCCTTTCAATCTTTGGGACTGTATTAGTACCAAATCGGATGGAAATACGGAGGTTGTACATAACAAGTTCCAGTCCCTGCACTACATGCCAACTTCTTTCTTTCTTCCTGTTCAACCTCTTCCCTACACAAATATCTTTCTATGTATTTTTATATATCCCACTATTTTGAATTTAAATCAAGGGTGGGAATGCTTTATGACCAGCAGGGAAAATATTGCACAAATGAGTAGAACTAAGAACTATATAAAAGAGATGAAAGGATGACAGATTCATTCAAAGAGAAAACATGAAGACGTATCTCCACTCTTAAAAAAGTGATTTGGAATGGGCACTCGGAGTATTTGGGAGAAACAAATTACCAAAGTAGGTGGTATACCAAGGCTGACATATTTTGGGCATATCATGAGAAGGCATGATTCACTAAAAAAGACAATGCCCGGATAAGCAAAAGGCAGCAGGAAAAGAAGGAAGCCATGGTTCTGAGTCTGCAAGACCAGAGCAGGGCAATTGATTATAAGGAAGTTTGTTATTTTTGTTGTGTTATGTTAGTAGACTGAGTCCAAGCAGATGAACTGATCAATAGGTACAATGTCCACAGCATATCTAGATAGAGATTCAAGAGCAAAAGCATATTAGGTCATTCTATCACAATTTGGAGCTGGTCTGTGTGAATAGAGGAAGATTCTGCTTTGACTTGGATTGGAGGGATGTCAGTAGAATTTAATTTGCCTAATTGAAATATAGGCTTTGCTTCCCCTCTTCCATTCATCTCACTATCTAAATGAAGTCCTTGGTTCCACCAAGTAGCTTCTTTTCTTAAACATGTATGTTCATTAGCCCTTTCCTACAGTCTTGCATTACAGTAATAAATCTTGCAGAAGCAAACTGGCTTTGTGAGAGCTCTGATTTCCATAGTAACTGAAGCTGGTTGTTCCAAGGCAGACAGTTGCCGATAACAGGAGCAGTAGGTAGTCCCTTCTGCATTGCCTGAGAGTGGCAGGGACTTGAATTCTAGGTGGGAGCAAGGCAAATGAGGAGATGAATATCAGTTATTATGTGCATCAGTGAGCTACTTATGAAAGCAAATGGCTATTCTGACTGCAAGACCTTTGAGCAGAAAACATGCAGAAAACAAAGGATAAGGAATGCTAGGGTTGTATAGCATAAATTTCCACATATGTTGTTTGTGCTACACAATCTGTGTATTGAATATCAATGCTTTGTAACTGAATATAGACCTGGATGCCAATTTTACAGAATAGATGGACCCAGACACACGAGCCCAGAATGTGCATCCACATGAATTGGAGCATCACACTGCAACTCTGCTTCCATGATCTGACACTGTGCATCAGACAAAATCACTGAATCACAGAGTTGGGAATTCAAGAAAAGTCTAAGATAACCCCCCACCATGCTGGAATAAACAACTAAAGCACTTCTGATAGATGACTATTCAAAATCTGTTAAAAGAGCCACAATTTCAAGGCATTCTTGTCAACAAGAAGTTCTTCTTATTAGGACATTCTGCGAAACATTTAATTCAATCTTTTTTTTCTTGCAATTTGAATTTATTGGTTCATGTCAATGATCAAGTAATTCCAGAAAGGAATAATTTATGTTATGTGCAAGACACTGACAGGATTCCAGCTGTGTCCATTTTCCATTGCCCACCAATGTAGTCATGAAGACAACTTGGAGCAATTAAGATGCAGTGAATGAAAGTCCTTATGATCCCTGGTCATTGATATTAATGACTGGACTAATGGGAAAGTGAATCTCTGAATTTGGGGATTTTTTACACAGTACAGTCTTGCTTATCTAACCTTCACTCATCCAACATTCTGTATTATCCAAAACAGTCTGCCTCCTGCCCGGATCCATAGCAGTTTCAATACATTGCGATGTTTTGGTGCTAAATATGTAAATATAGTAATTACTACATAATGTTACCGTGTACTAAACTGCTTTTTCTGTCGATTTGTTGTAAAACTTGTTTTGGTGTTTAGTTTTTAAAATCATAATGCAATTTGATGTTTAATAGGCTTTTCCTTAATCCCTCCTTATTAACCAACATTTTTGCTTATCCAACGTTCTGCTGGCCCGTTTATGTAGGATAAGCGAGACTGTACTGTATTGTGCTTTTGCAGACCTTTCTATGATGTTTATCTGCTGTTGTTTTAGAAAACATACCACTCAACATGGATAATGTCTCAAACTTGCTCAGTTACACTTTATCCCCACCCCACCTTGAATTGGTGGTGGCTCAACTTTATTTGCTGTCAGGTCAATTTCATTTTCTGGTGACTATGGCTAAGAGACTTCCAAGCAATCCTGTTCTTAGATCTTGAAACTCAGTGTCGTGGCTTCCATCTATCTGTAACATGGCCTTCCTCTTTTCCTACTGCCTTCAACTTCACCAAATGTTATAATCTTTTCCAACGAGACCTGTAGTCTCATGATATGTCCAAAGCACAATAGCCTCATGGTAGTTTAGCTTCTAGTAAGATACCAGGGATGATTTGTTCTTGCACCCATTTGTTTGTTTTTTTTAGAAAGTAACAATTTTCCAGTGCTACATGTCAAAGGGGTTTTTCTCCCTTGCAGCTTTCTCCATTGTCCAGCTTTCACACTCATATACAGAAATATACTTACATGGATGATGCTAATTTTGGTGTTCAGTGATGTCTATTTGCAGCTTGGGATAGTATCTAGGCACTTCATACCTAACCTTCTAAGTCTTAGTCTTCTTCCGGTTTTTTTAAAAACTGTGGTCTCCATTTTCATAAATGATTGAACCAAGGCATAAAAAGCTTGTAATGATAAAAATTGTACAGATTGTTGTGACCAAATACTATTTAGTTCATGATTCAAACACAATGAATATTGACTGGCTCACTCACAGAACTCAATGTGACCTGTCAATCACAAATGCAGTCTTCAACAATGTAGTAATGAAGACAATCTAGAGCCCTCCAAATGTTGTGGATGGAAACTCTTATAATCCCTGACAATTGCTATTGATGGATGAAGGGAATAGTAGTTGTGAATACCTACTATTTACATTTTAGAGTGTGGTTTCCTGTAAAAACCACTCAAAATTGCCGAAGGATTGACAAAGGAAGAGCTACTAATGGGCAGAAGAATTAAACACTTTTCTATTTACCAATTTTTCTCTGGAAATGTTTCTCCTGCCACTGTATTATATAAAGAAAAAATGGCTAGGAAGGCGAGTTTGGAAACCTTCTGGTCCAGCTTTTATTCCTTCAGCCAGAATAGTTTCAGGAAAGTCTTACTGTTTCTTTGAAATATTGGGAGTATAAAAACAAATGCTGTTCATTACGTAGATTATAGTTAAGCTTTGATTCATTAAATGAGAAATGTTGTTAGGAATTTGTATGTATACACCTTCAAGATACTGGCCAATTGGTTTTGCTAGTTCCTTCCTCTGAATGATAGCCTACAGCAGCGGGCATTTTTTGGCCGCCCACATTCCATTTAAGTATTCTAACTTCCAAGATCAGACAGGATATGGTGCCATTAGGGTATTTAAGAACAAACATCAAGGGCAACCCCCACCCCCCATACAGCCCAATGAAGACGGAATATGTTCAGTGGGATTGGGGTCCAGACCGATGGCTGGAAAGAGAAACTTTACACAGAATGGAAGATGTTGGCAGCTAGGAAACCGAACAGTAACTGTCCAGATTGAGCATTGTTTTGCAGGCTGCACATACACATTCATTTCCAAATTTCAGGGGAGTTAATTTGTCATAGCATTGACAAAATGGATGCACACATATGTAACAGATCTCCTATCATCCCAATGTACATGAAGTATTATGTGGTCACCAAGATAGCAATTTCTCTTTTGCAGAGAGTAGGGATAGAAAACCAGGGCTAATGTAGAATGGCATATTATAGGATTCTTTGTTGCATATTCATCTTAAAATGGTTGGAGATAAAAAAATACACATACCAATGTTAGCAGTAGGAAGGGTGTCATGGGTGCATACCTTGTTCTTATGGTAAGATGATTTAAGCAGATTCTTGCTACTCTTTGCTTCTCCATCTATGCCTTCTATCTCAAGTCCATTTGTTGAACAGAGTTCCAAGAGCTGTCCCTTATTTGGGAAGATGACACAAGGCTCAATAATGGCGTTGAATGCTAATTATGTTCAGTCAAATGGATTTCATACCCTTTATTCTCAGTACCACCGAACACTTGTTGTTTCCTTCAGCAAATGTCAACAGAAATGCCCAAAGGATCCCAAGAAGCTCTCTGAGGGTTTCTTTCACCTTTCTTGAGTTAGTATCACACTGTGTAAACATGTGGACCTCAACCCCAGGCGCCAGCTGGGTGAAGTAACTTTATTCAAGGCACAGTCATAGCAGTAAAGAAAACAAGATACAGAACTCTGGCACATTCCTATAGGGCAAAAGCCAAGAGAAAGA